CAAAAACCAAAAACAACAAGACAAGCAAACTGTCTTCCCCGCAGTTTTTATTGTTTTGTTCTTAAGTTTAAAACAAGTTTGAAAGATGCTGTAGAGCTGACAGAACCAGCAACTCTAAATTCACTGATCGACTGATCGATTGAAGTGTATCAGTGACAAAGGAATTGTTAAGTTCTGCCATGACTACATCTTTCGCCTGTCTTGAGAGCGGATCTATTTCAGTGATATCACCCGCATCACGTGACCCTAAAGGAATTGAGCAGGGTGATGGACTCCTGGGCCGGGTTGTTCGAAGCCCGATTTAGCTAACTCAGGATTAGCGAGAAGTTTGATTTGAGTTTTGCAACTTGTCGGTGCGGTTCTATTGTTTGCCCTTCAGTTTTGAGTCTGAATAATTCTAAACTACACAAAAAAGGTAGTGAAAAACATATTTATACAAGAAAAAACTAATACTTCGGTTAACTTTTAATCCTGGCCGGGTTTAGCGCTAAACCTGATTGGGTAAAATCTTTCGTCGGAACTAATACAATGAGCTTACTGAATAGATTAGACTTGAGAATCTCATGGTTCTAAAAATTAATCTTTGAAATAATTGAACTGAATCCGATTTAAACTTGCTTTAATCAAGAAAGTATTAATTTGCGTATATGATACTCAAAGCTGTTACATTAATAAAATTAAATTTTAGATCTTTGGTTAAGGCAGTTTAGATGTTGATTTAAGAAATAAAAAGGCGTATTATATTGTGGCATTCTGAGGTCGTCTCCATGCCCATATATTAAAGACTGCTGTTTACAATTTCTAATGGAAGTAGTAAAGACACATGCTTCGGTGGCTGATCTAAGGCCAGTTTGGTCGAACGATGGGTCGTATTTTGGTAAAACGTAGTCGAGCCAAATTACCCATGGCGAGACCAAACGAGCATGATATACTATCGAAGCGTATCAAGAAAGGTGCGATAAGGTATTTACCTTCAAGTGGTCTCAAGTGAGCATGATATCGTAGCCATATCAGGTCAGTGATTTGATATCTCAGAACATCAGGAGAGTAGAAACGGCTTGTCATTGGCTAACTGCGAATTTGGGCACACTTAAAATATTTCTAGCGTTGTGTTCTTGGGCAAGACGCTCCCACAGTACCTCTCTTCCCCTAGGTGTAGGACAACTGAAGTAGTAAACGAGGCGGAGGTACGAGGGCACTCCCTACCTCGTGTACCCACCTCGTTTACAACTAATGAAAATAACCGAGTCGAGAAATCTGGGTAGGATTCAAGTACTACGTTCCCAGCAGCCTATGTCCTACGAGCCTACTGCGAACCTATAAACATCGAAAAATGAAAATTCTAGCGAGTGGTGTTGACTTAGGAGGATTACATACCGATGCTGTAACCTCAAACCTAATGACGAATTCTAGGGAATTCTAGTTTATAATATAGCCGTGTTTCACACGTATTCGGAACTACCAAATTCACAAGAGACATCTCTATATCAGAGCTTTATTACCGCGAAGTTTTAATTAGAAGCTTGAATAACACAGCGTACTTTTATACTTAAAACGCGACGTTTTCTGCGCTAAACAACGTACATTTTCAAAAGTAACCTTCACAATTTTTTTTGACATTTTTTTGTATCATTATTTTTAGGGGTCTAGAACCGATACTAAGAAAAACGATTCACACTATTTTAATAGTAACTAGCACGGAATTTCACATAAAACCCATCAGATCTGACCTGACCTGACCTGAAGCTACAGCTATTAAAACATCAGCTTCTTGCTGCTCACGTAAACAAGGTCTTCACAATTTTAAGATGAAAGTCAGGTTTGCCGGACGCTTAAATGTTAAAATGATTCCATTTTATGTTGTGGCCAGTGGTTTTGACATATATCCTGGAAAATGCCTTACGTGGTCTGCAAATGACTTTTCTTTTTTAAACATTACCATAAAAACGTTCAACATCTAAAAGGGTTATCAAATCCATAACGATGGTTTTCATGTTATAATGCATATTAGCCATGTGGTCTGGCAGACAGTTTTATGCCAAAATCAATTATGGAAATGATTTCATTATCCTAGTGAGCTTGGAACAGTCAATCGATATCTTGACTTCTTAACTAGTGGCGCCCGAATACTCCTGATTGTTAATTTACTCAAAATAATAAAATAAAGCATCGAGAATGACGAAAGCAAGGTGGTATAATTGTGTGAAGGGATTTTTGTTTTGGAGGGGAGGGGGTGGACAGGTCACGTGACTATCCTATGTTACGTTAAAAGATACTAAAGACCAATAAAATAGTAATTGTCTCAAGACATAATGTCACGGTTTTCTTTTGGCTGTGGTTGAATACCTATGCTACTGGTTCAACGAAAATTCTGTCTAATATGTCATAGCTAAGAGGGGGTAGGTGGGACCCCATCTCATGACGTGAAAAAGAATAGGTTCTTGTGTGACTAGTATACTTATTGAACGATGTAAATAAAGTTTTCGTCATTTTACACAATGAAATTTGACTCAAACTATCCGTTTGACCATTGACTTTCTCAAGAGATGGGAGTAGGTTCTTTTGCCAGTCGTTTTGGGTATATCAAAGCAGGAGGGGTACCCCTCCTTTCTGGTGACGTCAAGTTAAATTTCCTTAAATTTAAAAATGTCACTGTGCGGCGTAATTTTTCGTTCTTGAGTGTGTGACACCCATGACGACATACTCTGGTATCCCAGGAATGCGTGACCGTTATAGTCATTCCACCGCTTACGTTGGGTTCTCTAGCAATCTTTTTTTTCTGACCAGATGGTTTTTCTTCAATAAAAGCAAGTCGGCCATTTGTTGGACACGTGTGCAAGTCCGGCGACTCGTAATCGGTACTTACCATGTTTCAGAGCGTTGGGAATTTTAATGCTAATCCGTCATGTGACCTAAACCTGGCTCTCTGATTAGTCCATTGAAAAAATGCTGCTCTCTGATTGGCTAGGGACCCAGATTGTCTTTGTGAGCATCTCCGTTCGACTACTTTTCACAGCAACCACTATAGGAGAATCTTTGAAAATATATGCCTCGTTAGCATAAGCGAGTTCTGAATATTGAAAGAGCGCAGCACGATTAACTGTCCAGAGGAATTTGAGTCCTATGTCCCTGTGCGACGCGGGATTAGACACTCAAAGTTTTACAAAGAATGTAAGAGCTTATCAGCGCTTGTGCCACCCAGGAATTTTGCAGTTTTTTGAAAGTCAGTTTCTCCTCGAATATTGCACCAAGGAGCCAAGCATTTAACTAATTACTACGTTTCACAAGCTCTTCAAATGTTTGTATTCAATTCGAGTCTAGCGTCATGTATTGATGAGGACAAATGCAAACAATGACGTCGGCAAAGAGTCGCCTGCACGGCAAAACCTTCCTTTTATACGAGTCTCACTCGAGCCCAATCTTTGCTAGTATAGGTAAGAAGAGGTTCAACCTGACGCCATCCGATGTTCGACACGCAACGAGCAGGGAGAAAAGGGAAAGGAGCGAAGGGAAGATTGACACGTGACGGTGACATGACAGTCCCAACCAGATGTAAACTGCTACTGCTATTTGAGCGACGATTCTTTAATTTGTCCTCAGCTGTTGTTTGCACTGACGTCAAATTGCATCTTGAAACTGTGAACAGGTTTCCAAGTGAAGTACAGGGCGATAAAGTCATAGCAATCCGACTGCTGTCTCCAAAAGAGGGAACGGGGGGCAAGTGGGGACCTATGCCCTCCGCGATTTCCTTTCATTTCATTTCATTCAGTTCCTTCCCCGAACTGCATTTGGTTTACTCCACTAGCCGATTTTCTGCAGCCCATCGGGGAGTCTGTTCACAGGCTTCAAATTGAAATGTCAAAGACCATAAAAGAAGTTGAGGAAGAAGGGGTCGAGTGGAACTGGATCAAAACCACCTGGCGAATAACGGAAATTCAAAAAGACTTAACTGGATGATGGGCTGATCTCAACCTGAAGAAACATCGTGTCTTCCACAATGTAGCATCTTGAATGAAGTTTCTTGTGAGATACAAACTCAGGAAACCCCCATCCCATATTGTTCTTCTTATTTTTAGGCCTTCCAAAGCTTTCTGAGTTTTTACCTGCTATAAAATGCCTGGTAATATTTTCCCGTTGGGCTGGATCTTCCTGTTGATCAATCAATGTAAACTGCACTTTCTTTTTGAAAGGCCAGGGTAATATAGCATCATATTCACCTTTCATAACGACAATGAACACCGACAGGTAAGCATTCTTAGCAGACCCCGAACCATTAGCTTCAACAGCTATTTTTAACTTGTACCCATAACTTTCTGTTCTGTCAGTGTAAAATGGAGAACTATCTATAGCTATCTTTTCCTCGGCCTTTGCTTGCCTCAAAACTTCAGTAAAGTGTTCAATCTTCCAAATAAAAGTCCGTGTTTCAAGTTTCACACAAGCTAAGTCAAGATGGGGTTTCACGTCAGATTCAAGATGCGATTCCATTTCTCGTCGTTGAACCTAGAAGAAAACGTAGAATTATTTAGCCGAATCTCGGAAAGAAATTGATACTTTTCATACGTTAGCTGGTGGCGAATGTTTTATACCAACCACGACACACACTACCAATGATGATGAGAATGAGAACAAAAGTGACGGTGACAATGACAATGATAGATTAACGCTGGCAAACCTCGTATTAACCTATGTGCAGTCATATACATGTAAGTTACATATATTTAGAAAATGACCCGAAGGAAATACGCGCGCTGATTGGTTTAAACCGTGTTCACCACGAGGTAATGACGTAATGATGGCGCGAGCAACGCAAATTTGCATTTTGATGATCGAAGTAAACGAATTGTTTTTCTTTTTTCGTCGCGGTATTTTCTAAAACGACCACCTAGGCTTGACATTCTGGGTAGTCGCTTACGGAAGGTTCAACTGTAATAAAGAAAAAACGAAATGAATTATGGTAGTTGTAGTAGAATGACGACATCGTGCAAATCTGCTATTCTCCTGTCCGTTTCTCCTCTGAAAATTTTAATCACGGCTTCAATCATTCGGGAATTCATAAAGCTCATCAGTTTGTGATTTTCAATATCTTCTTCTCGGCATTCAAGTACAGTCAACTCTGTATTAAGCGGACACCTTCACGAAATGCGCTATTATAATGATAAGTTCACGCGAAAACATAGATTATTTCAGCGGTGAGATATTGAGTACTTGGGAGTAAAATACAAATTTAATGAAAAACAATATCAGTAGTTAAGACATAGCAATAAAAAATGACACAAAATAGAGTAGAGTACTTTAAGCAACAACATAAGACAAATAAGGAAAACGCAACTCAAGATGAAGCGAGATGAGTTGAGGTAACGTAACATGTGAACATGATTCATCTTCCACATCTCACTGCTAATCTATTATCTTCATGGAATTTCACAGTACTGAAACTCGTGAAATTTCATTCTTTATGCGTGCATATATTTCACCCCTAAAACCTGAAAAAAAAAAAGCACGCTTTATATCGACTGGCGTTTACCTTTCTTTTGCAGCCTATCTGTTCATAAGGGCAGGGAATTAATGTCAATGGACAATCGTTTGTGGCGTGGTCTGGAATCTGAAAGACAGAAAGTCGATCTTGGGTTTTATCAAAGGAGCGACCGACCAACTGCGGAAATGAAGAATGAAAGAAAGAACTGAATGCAAGTTTATTTGAAATGCAAGAAGCCGATTAGATGGTTACCAATAAAAAAAGAAATAAATAAATTACTTTATTCAAGTGTCATGGTATTTAGCGCTTCTGTGCTAATTGGGGATACTATAACTTCAGAGACATATCGCAACTAGAACTAAAAATCCCAGCTAGTCGGAGGCTGACCAGTTGGCTATTAGCAAGACGTGGAGGAGTTGAATTCCGGTCCACCGAACACAAATCCATCTAGTGGCAGGGAGAATTTGAACCTGGAACCTCCGGATTAAAAATCCGGTTTGTTAACCAATAGGCAACGCCTTCTCCACAATCAGCAGATGAAAACCTGTGACCAACCAAAAAAATCCTTTCTGGGAAAAATAGCAAAATTGCAGTAAAACTTTAACTAAAGAGAGTTATATCACGGGCGTATATTGCGTATCTCCTCAAATTAGTAAGCCAACATTTGTGACAATTGCGACCGGTCTTAATCTTACTGGCACAATCTTAATAACCCTTTGCTTTTTATATTAGCTGCGACCACGAACCTTATGGCCTTGATATAAAAATAATACCAGATTTTACATGAGGCTAGCTGAATATTGGACTCGAACAGGTCTTCACTGAGATTCGTAGATTGTTCCAGTCTCTGACAACCCAACTGCAGAATTAATCTTAAAAGCATTTGACTTTGTTTCTTAGGTCTCTTAAATGTTTACATGCTCAAAGCTTCCTAATGGTAACGTATTTAACTTGATTCAGTCTGCAATGGCACAGGGTTGACTTACATGTATATCGTTTTCGTCCCAAAATGTTCGCGCGATGCAGAGAAAAGAGCATTTGCTGACCTAAGATCCAAAGTT